TATATATATATATAAATTGTCCCACATTATTTTGTTACACAACTCCACTCTCCACAAAACCATCACCCTAATTTGTTTTAAGGGTTACCTCCGTGATCCTGCAGGTTATGTCCTTTGGGTCAAAAACTACTTGTCGGGACTCCCAATACCAATGGGCCTAAAGGCTATTGGGGAAAACCTCAGTAGATAAACATCCAACTTGTCATTACACGTTGCTTGGAAAAGGAAACTAGTGCAACCCCTGGAGCAAAGCCTGGAGTTGGACACTCGATGCTCGACCAAACCAAGCTCAGAACATTGACCTGTGTGTACCAGCTGCAAGAAGGGTCATTGAGAATGGGTGTGAAGTGACCAAACTCCTGCATAGGGACACAGAATGTCACCTCTGCCAGGTCAGGAGCCAGAACTTGTGTGTGAGGTTGAACAAAACCAATTAGATTGAGTTGGGCTCACCTCTAAACCCAACACCTGGAGAGGGGCTGGTCTACATTGGAGATGCGCAGAAAGCATGACGATTAGCAGTTGTAATACTCAAAAACTTGAGGCTGAGTTTTTAAATAAGTACATRATAAATCAGTCACTTTTTAAAGCTGATATTTTCTTTTAAAGTTGACTTTTAAAATGAATATTGTTTCAAATATGAAACATTTTGAGTTTACTCATGCTTTAATGTTTTCCATGATAAAAACTTAAGTGTTCTGAAAGCAACAGGAAATGTATAAACCTTAATAAAAGCAGTTTTTCTTTCCATCTGTCATTTTATTGATAACTTCAGAGATRCATTATTTGTGTCATTGCTTTAGCTCTAAATATTATACAGAATAAAATAAAAAAAAATGAGTGAATTTATTGTTTTAAACACCAAATGATGAAAAGTATGGAGTTAAAATGAGCGTACAGGTTTTGTCTTTGACACAGACTGGATGAAAGTCATTTGTGTGCTGCTGCTCATGCAGTGCGAACTCACTTTAGCTGTCGAAGGCTTGTGACAGGAAGGAAGGGGCTTGCTGTCTCATTGGCAGGCCCTCTAAGTAGGGCAAGGTTTGTCACATGCCGGCGATACGAACACAAAGGATGCGAGGAATGAGAGAGGCATGCAGATAATAAGATASAGTGAGGAAAGATAAAATTAAGAAACGCCACTCTCCTTACAAAGCTGTTTCCTCTGGGAAAAAGGGACAGACGGATCTTTTTCACGGTCAATGAAGGCATGGCTGCACGCCAATTAACCCCCCCGAATGAGTAGATTTTACTAGGAAATACAGTTTGGACTGACTCTTTCATGTTTCTTCCTCAAACGTTTTCTGTGCTTTTAGGAGTGGGAGCTTGTGGTGCTTGGGAAGTTGAAGTGGAACATTGCCTCGGTTATCCCCAACGATTTTATAGAGCAGATCATGCCCAGGCTGCCCCTTCCCAAAGACAAGCTGGCGATGGTCCGCAAACACACGCTGACGTTCATTGCCCTTTGTGCCACAGGTAACTCAACCCGATAAGATGCCTTTTTTTTCTTCCTGTATTAGTTTGCTGCTTTCCCCCTTCTACATCCACCAGATTATTCCCACACACGCAAACATTCTCTCATCGTGAGTCATTTGTGATGTCTTTCGTCTCTGCAGACTGTTTTATGCACTTTCTTGTCTTTCCAAAGCCTCTAGTAAACGTTTCTTTTTCTTTTCTTTTTTTTTTTTTTTTTTTTTTTTTTGTTCACAGCTGCCACGGCTGAGTGCCTGGGAAACTCCTATCAGTTCTGTGTTTAGATTAGCCACATTCGCTAGCACTCACACTGTGTCGTGCTGTAAGCTATGCTCGTGTAGACACTGTGCATTGTTTGTTGACAGGGAAGCTTCCAGGTTTAAAGAGTCGGGGCAGCGATCCAGTGATCTTCCTTCCTCCTCCCATCCTGGCCTCGCGTCCAAAATAAACTCTATAGACTCTGAAAAAAGAAACAGGAAAAAGAGGAAGAAAAAAAAAGAAACGTTTACTAGAGGCTTTGGAAAGACAAGAAAGTGCATAAAACAGTCTGCAGAGACGAAAGACATCACAAATGACTCACGATGAGAGAATGTTTGCGTGTGTGGGAATAATCTGGTGGATGTAGAAGGGGGAAAGCAGCAAACTAATAC